AAAAGAAAAACCTTGTGGCAGTTGGAAAACAGTTTATTCTTTACAGCGTACGGGTGTGGGACTTAACCCTTTCCTGGGATGGCCTTGGGTCCTGTTCATAAGGCAGCATTTTATTGCCACAGAATCTGTTCTGTCAGTCTTACACCCTCTATTTTAGCATGAATACTGGTCACTTGTGTGTATACTGCAAGCAAAAGGGAGGGGGATAACGAGGCGTTGTCTGATCTCCCATCCCATCGTGGCTGGGAACTCAATTTTTAAGGGTTTTCTGGGTTTTTTAAAGGTTTTTCTTGGCCAAGAAGGGGTCCATTCAGTTGGCATGGAACTTAAGATTTTATTTTTAATTTGCAGATGTTATGAATACTGTATGTCGTGTAGGGATGTATATGCAGGTGAATAAATGAAACACAGCAAGGAATTGACTGGTAAAAATCAAGATGGTGGGCACTGTGGGGGATGAGGTAGGGGTCAGGGAGAGACCCTGGCTTCTGGCAGGCTCTAGGTCTTTACCTAGGTGGAAAGAACTTCGGGCTGAATGGGTTGGCTGAACATACATATTCAACAGCTTGTGGGAAGAGCTATGAATATTCATGATCTCCCACCCCATCATGGCTGGGAACTCAGTTTTTAAAGTGTGGTTGGGCATTAGTTTTACTATTATTGGGTGAATTATAGATATATGGCCTATGCACTTTTCTATGTGTGTTATTTTCATAATCAAAAAGTTTGAGGCCAGGTGCAGTGGTTCATGTCTGTTATCCCAGCACCTTGAGAGTTCTTAGAAACTCTGGGGGTGGGACACACAAGCGTTGAAAGGAAAAATCAGCTTTGTGGAAGGGAGGTTTGGAGGCCGAGTCCTTTAAGCGTCTTAAAGAATCCACTGTGGACGGTGGCTGTACTTCCTCCAGCACTAGCCTTTGGTTTACTTTTATGCACCACTGGATTCTGTTGCTCCGGGGATGCCAGGCTCTTTAGAAGCTGTTCCAGCAGCTGGTCTCTGCATGAGAAGGTGCAGGTGTTGGCTCTGGGACATGTAATTGCATGTGCCTCCTGATGTGGTTTCCAAGCATCCACTGTGGTTTCTTTGACTTTGGGGGAAAAGATGACAGGCCCTGAGCTGAAACAATTTGGAAGCAGAAATCCAAACATCGGGGACCTGAGTGAAGCAAGGGCAGGGTCCTGGACAGGCCTCTACAGAGATCCTTCTCCTTCTGGAGGGAGGATGGGATTATCTCTGCTGGGCAGAGAGCAGCAAGGGTTTCCTTTTAGATGCTGTGGGTGCCCCGCCAGCAAGAGCCCCAGCTGTGGCCTCAGGGGAAGGGAGGAGAGCTCTTTCGGTTTTGCTTTAGGTGTGTGTCTGTGTGTGTCCTAACCCAGTCCTCCCCACACTCCCTGACGTGCTGATCACCGTGACCACTTCTAAGGCCTGGGTCTTTGCATTAGAAACTTATTTGTTAGGGGTACAGGGGGAAAAGAAGGCACCTGGCACTCATCCTCATCTCCAGCTTCCATGTCTGGCAGAATGCCTTTGCCCCTCAGTGAGGTGGCGAGCTTTGCTGGCCCCACGGCCTTACTTGCCTGGTGGGGTGAGGCAAGGGGGACCCTGTCCATCACGTCTGGGCTGAGATGTCCCTGTCAGTGACCATGGTGGGTCCTCTGTCCTGCTGCTGCTTCTGTGGTCACATTGGGGGTCTGCTCCTCATGGACCCAGCACTGCTGTGTAATGAAAGTGGGGGGGTTCTAATTTTGTTGGCTTTATCTTAGTGAAATAAAGTTTAATATCACAGAACCGAAAACAAAGCTCATGAGTACAGGGTTTCAGCTACTCCCTTTCTGCAAAACAATAAATCCAACCTTAACATTTTCAGATTTTTCATGATTCTCACTCTTTTTTTCTAAGGTGAGATAATCCTAACAATATTCTTGGAGAAATTCTATGTGTGTGTGTGTGTGTGTGTGTGTGTGTGTGTGTGTAACTTTTTCCTTTGCCAGCTGGAATTAAACTTACTTGGTGAAAGAGACAGCAAGAAAACAACAGGCAATATTTCACATTTTAGGTGAAATAGCGGGGGTTTTAGACAAGATAATGATGATGAGAGGTTGATGGATAAATAGATAGCATTTTATGATCAGTGACTCTGAGTATTTAAAAATATGTGACTTGCCTGAGAGATGTGTGTTCATGTGTATGTCAGATGTGTGTGCACATGTTTGTGTGTGGTGGTGTAGCCATGCATATGTCAGAGTTGGAACTGAATGACTAATGTGCCACTCTGTCTTAGGCATGTTCTTTTCTTCTTGTATTATGGGTTGATTAAGTAAAAGCTAACCTGACTAGACAGGGTGCTGGGGCTCACGCCTGCAATCCCAGCACTTTGGGGGGCTGAGGCAGGAGATCACCTGAGCTCAGGAGTTCAAGGCTAGGCTAGCACTCAGCTAGCTCTGAGAAGTAACTGAGCAACTTGATAATCAAGAAGATAATAGTAGTCTAAGACAGCAGGCGAAAGAAGTTAGAGTCAGATGCTTGGTTCCCCTATAGAAGCTAAAGATAACATCTTAACACGTGTCCCTGAGTTGTTTTCCAGAAACCCTGACCCCCACCAAACAGATCTGTGGCACACAGACCTCTGATGAGGAGGAACCAAAGACTGAATTCTGGACTACCATTCTTTGTTCTCAATTTCTTCCTGAAGGGCCTGGAGGGAGTCACACCCATGAGCCAGAGCTAACATTCTTTCTTGATGACCGCAAATTTATAAACAAAGCTGCTTTTCATTACTAATTGCAAATCAGAAAATCTTTAAATCTACCTACGACCTGTAAGCCCCAACTCTACCAAAAAAAAAAAAAAAAAAAATTAGCCAGGTGTGATAGTGCACAGCTGCAGTCCCAGTTGCTTGGAAGGCTTAGGTGGGAGGATCGCTTGAGCCCAGGAGGCAGAGGTTGCAGTTAGCTGAGATTGTGCCACTGCTCTCAGCCTGGGTGGAGTAGAGACTCTGTCTCACAAAACAAACCAAAAACTAACCTGGCTCTAAAAGCCCAATTTTTCTCTCAGTGACAATTTTGTGATTGTGTTTCTTCATCTTTTTAAGTCTGTAAGATTTTTGCCAGCTTTACCAAACACAAGAACCTAGGAGATGCTGTAATAGGGGCTATGATTGGGAACTGGGTATTCATGAAGAGGAGGAGATACAGTGATACATTGGGCATTTATTAGCATAAGATGGACAAAATTTTTCTTTTAGTTTTCTTTATTTCCCCCAGGAAATCATACCTGATGTGTAGGAAAGTGTGGGGGCGGTGGAAGGAATGTGGACTGTTGCCTCTCACGGCTTGTCTGGTTGACCTTGGACGAGGTAACCCATCTCAGCTGCAGCTGTCTCACGGTGCAGTGGGGAAAGCAGCCTCCTGCCAAGGTGGCTGTGTGGGATAGGAATACGCTTCGAGGCATGGAGCATTGACGCCGTGCTCAGGACTCCCGCCTCTCGCTTTGAACAGATGGGTGACGGGGCACATGGCATGGTTCCGAAGCCTGCTAAAGGGAATGATTTACTTAGAAAGTCAGGTCCAACTAAGTGATTCCCCTTCTTTTTCTTTTTAAGAAGTAGGGTTGATGGGGAAACCTCCCCTCTGTTTCTGGAGGGAGACCCCTGGTGCAGGAGAGCAGGCAAGTTCACACGTGTGGGGGCTGCACACACTGAAAGCGTGGACCCGTGGTTGAAAGCCAGCTCTTCCTGGGAGATTCTTGCCCTGTTGTAAAGGATGACAAGCGGCATAAGATCTTTGTGGGGCATTTTGTCAGAAGAGAGAACTTGGGAAAAAAATCCTCCCTTTAAGAGAGTTTTCTCTGTAAATGGGAAAGTGGCTTTTGAAGGCTGTGAAAGTAAAACACTTAAAATTGAAGAACGAATTCAAGGAATGTAAATGGGGCAGTTTTCACATACTTCTGTTCAGGCTGTCTTTTGGTTTGGGGATTTTTTTCAGCCTGATGATCTTAATTGGATTCCAGAAAAACGTTTCTAAGTGAATACTGTTTAACCATTTTGTCATGCTGATCATACCTGGTAGGATAAGAGCAAGCCACACATTTTTTCATTTTCCTGAGACAGAGCAGGGGCCCCATTTTAGGGCCTGTGACCCCCCAAACACAGAAACAAAGGAGAATCTTGAGTTCCCTTAAGAGAAATTCCAGGTACCCAGCTAGCCTTGAGAAGTGAATGAACAACTTGATAAGTAAAAAGTTAATGGTAGTCAGAAAAACAGCCAAGGAAGTTAGAGCCAGACGTTCATTCTGACTAAAGATAACATCTTAACGTATGTCCCTGAGTTGTTTTTCAGAAACCTGGATCCCCACCAAACAGATCTGTGGGACACAGGCCTCTGGGAACAGGGGACTGAAGACTGAATTCTAGACCTGAATTCTGTGTTCTAAATTTCTTCTCAAAGGGCTCTAGGGAGTCACACCCACAAACCAGAGCTAACTGTCTGATGACCCCAAATTTATAAACAAAGCTTCTTTTCATTAACTAATTGCAAATCAGAAAATATTTGAATTTACCTATGACAGTAAGCCCCTTGTTTGAAGATTTCCTGTCTTTTTGGGCCAAAACCAACATGTAACTCCCATGTACTGACTTAGGATTTTGCCTATTACTTTTGCTTTCCTGAGATTTACCCTTGCCATTAGAAACCTTACCTGCAAGCCATTGGAGAGGTCAGAATTTAAACATTAGCTGCTGGTCGTCCTTTCTTTGTGCCCTGCAAATAAACGCCTTCCTTTCTGCCACGGCAAAACCCACATGGATATCTGGTCTTACTGCACTGGGCAAGCAGGCCCCACGTGGGTTCTACAACCTTCCTTCTGCCCATTTAATGGTCTCTGGATATTTCGAGCAGACTCCAAAATTTTCCCAGTTCCTCTCAGACCCGTAGGGTATAACATAAAAACTTTAAACTCCTAGACTATTTGTCCTCTAACATCCATCTCCCTTCTTCCTTAGGAATGGAATCCTGACTTGGTTTGGGTGTCACCGTGCCCAGACGGAAAGCTCCCTTCCTTAGCCTCTGTGCATCTATCTGCACGTTGACACCATCTGGTGAAGAGTTTACCATCTCATGGTTTCGGGCAAAGCTTTTGCTTTTGTGGCTGAGGCATGTTCCTTCTTTGCTTCCCTCTCTCTTGCTAGACAAACAAGAGGACAGGAGATCAGCTATCTGAGGCCAAAGAATGGGGAGTGAAGCCAGGGAGAGCGCCCGCCTGGGACTGCCTCCTTTGGCGTTTGCTTTGTTTGCAATACCGTCTCCTGGATAGGTGCAGGCCACTGTCACTTGGGTTTTCTTTTGCTTGAGCTGAGTGTAGTCCTCAATGACACATGGAGGGGGCTATGAGTGTTTGCATGGGGGCAGAGTCCTCCTGCACCAGTGCAGCCTCAGGAAAGGCCTCTCTCAAATCTGCCTTGTTCTCCCATCAGGAAGCAGAGAGGAGGGGACTGGGCCAGGAAGAGAGCGTGGCCTGGAATATCACTCACTCAAGCATGGGGGTCTCTGTGAGTGGACTCTGTGTGCTTCTCCTATTCAATCCTGATGTCCTCAGGGGTTGGGCATTGTCTTGCCCTCATTTTCAGTAAGCCTAGAGTGAGGCTAGGCATTGAGGAGGAGACATCTGTGAGCGCACATTCTGATTGGTGCTCAGGTGGTCACCACCAGCTCGCAGAGAGCAGGTGGGCCAGGTTGGGGCACCCCACCACCCATGGGAGAGCACATAACCTAATGCGCTAGGTGTCTGAGACCGTGTGCATCAGTGGGTCCCGAGTCTAGGAGGTGACAGGGCAGGGAGGATGCCTCATCCTCAAACCACAGTGGGCCTTTCAGGTTCACTTTTGTTTTTGAAATGGAGTGTTGTTCTGTCTCCCAGGCTGGAGTGCAGTGGTGTGATCTTGGCTCACTGCAACCTCTGCCTCCCGTGTTCAACTGATTCTCCTACCTGTGCCTCCTGAGTAGCTGGGATTATAAGTGCGCACTACAGCACCCAGCTATTTTTTGAATTTTTTTTTTTAGTAGAGATGGGGTTTCACCCTGTTGGCCAGGCTGGTCTTGAACTTCTGACCTCAGGTGATTGTCTGCCTCAGCCTCCCACAGTGTTGGGGTTACAGGCCTGAGCCACCGCGCTGGGCCAGGCTCACATTTTGGTTAGAAGTGCATTAGGGAGTCTCCCACAGTGCAGAGAGAGAGAAGAGGGAGGAGCTAACACGTCTTGCCTGACTACTGTGTCCCCATCAGGACTCAGCATGTTCCTGCAGCCACCCAGAGATGTGGTTACTAAAATTGCCGTGGCAGAGGTAAAGCAAGGAAGAAGTAAATCGCCCAGACATCGGAGGGAAGAGGCCGCACATTCGACCCACCTCCAACAGGGAAGCCACTGTGCTTTCCGTAGCAGCTGGGACACAATGGTGAAAATTCCATTTCACAGACTGGCTCCTGGGAAATTCTAAGCAATTGAACTGGATAATAAAATTGGTGTTTTAAATCTTGTTATGATTTTTAAAAATTTAAATTCATCAAGACTTTCCTTCCCGGATCTTCTCCCCTGAGTTCCCAGCTGCACACTTTGCCTCTGACTCAGATATAAAGGCATCTCAGTATCTTCATCTTTCCCCTTGCTCAGGCCTCAATCCTGGGAGTCATCTGACTCCTCCCGAATTTTCCTCATGTCCTGCAGCAGCGACCGCATCTGACACGTTGTGTGACTGGCTGTCCCCCGTTGAAATCATAGCTCTGGAGGGCAGGGTGTGTGTCTTTGTTTTCCATCCCGGTGCGTGGCGACACTGTGTGACCTTGGCGCCGATCAGGGGCTCAGTGAGTTGAAAACGGTGGTCTGTGCACTCACCGCCTGAGGTCAGAATCTCTTCTCCCTGTGCCCGCCTCTCCCATTAGGCTTGGGCTGTGTTCAGGTGCAGACCCTGCTGAGTCACTTCTGTATTTCCAGGGCTGGCCGCTGCAGTAGTGCAGGAAACGTTTCTTGAACTAAGTTGAACAGATCAGAGCAGCTGGGATGTCAACAGGTGAACCTGGATGAGGTGAGATAGGGCGGTCTTGGAGCCTTTCAGGTCCAGGGCCATGCCTTAGCAGATGGCATGTCTTAGTTTGTTTCCCTAGAAGCAAACTGAGGAAAAGATTGCAGCACAAGGTACTTACCTGGGAGGTACAGGAGAGGAGCAGGGACAGCAGGCAGGGCTGCAAGCAGGGGAGCCGGCCACTCTGGTGGGAGGCTGGAAACGCTGGACTGGTACAGACACACAAACTCTCAGGGGTGCTGCCCTGGGGCTTCCGCCAGAGGCCGCAGGGAGGGCAGGATGGTGGTGCCAAGATGCAGACTGCAGTGGGGTTGGGGGCGGGATGCCGAGCTGCTGTGTGGTGGGTCTGAGAGGTGAGTGGTCCTCTGAAGCAGCTGCTATTCACTGGGGAGAGTGCAATCTTCCTCGGGGAGGGAGGGCATCCTGATCCAGGATGGGAGGGAGCAGGCAGGAGCACCCCAACAAACTGCTGGGGTCACTACTTCTGTCATGCTGATTCTTGAACTGGAGGGTGAGAAGCAGCAGAACGTGGCTGCTGCATGAACGGAGTGTTGCACCTGGGCCAGGGTAGCCAGGGCTCTGTTTTAATAAAGCAACTCAGCTTTGGATCTGGGTGGACCCAGGTTCAAATCCTGCTTGTGACCCTTTCCAGCTGCTTAATCTTAGGCAACTTACTTGGCCTGTCAGCCATGTTTTCCTTGGTGGTGAAATGGAGACAGGGAGCTCCCCGGTAGGAAGGCTGTGGCCCTACATGATAGGTGCAGGCTGGAGACCTGGGGTGGTCTAGGTTCAAGGCAGGCCACACGCAACTGTGTCCCCTCCCTCCCCCAGCCCAGCATCACCTAACCACATGCTGTTTTTATTAGCTAAGATAAAGCTAGCTGCTATAATAGATCAACCTCAGCTTCTCCGTGGCATGATTGAACACCTTAGAATTTTATTCCTTACTCAGGGAAGCTCAGTCTATGGAGGTAAGAAGTGGAGGGTGCTCTCTGTAGTTCTGACAGATCCAGGCTGACAGTCCCTGCCATCCCCAAGGCTCAGCTCCTGGATGCCCTTGGCTGCAGACAGTGGAAGACAGAGAGTAGAAGTCCTGCCTGAGGTCACTCAGCACACGTCAGCTTTGTTCCTAGTCCATGGCTGGAGCGCAGTCACATGGTGCAGGGCTGCAAAGGCTGCCGGGAAGTGTGTTCTGTATTATGTGCCCTGAACAAGGGAAAGGTTTGGTGAAAGTTTGCCAGCTCCACCACAGCGCTGCTGTGACGGTGGAGATCAAGTGCATGAGGCACTGGCTTTCACACAGGTAAGGCATCTTGACTGCTACAAGCTGGGTTTTCCTCCAGCTTCTGCTCCTGTCCAGACAGAACACCTATTTTTTTTTTCTATCCACTGAATCAGAGAACCCGCCTTTCTCAGGGCAGAGTCCAAATTCCCAACTTGTATGAAATGAGATTTTCTTCCCAGTAATACATAGTGGAATGTCTACAGACATCTGTAAGTGTTTGTTGCACCCCGTGATTTCTCCCTTGGCAGGGACCTGTGGCCATTGCATCTGGCTCCCCAGGATGGGGCTGTGAGCTGAGGTTGGGACGCTGAGAGAATGCCAGGCCCAGGATTTTCCCGATAAGCAACTAGATCCTGAACACAGGTTTTTGATGAGAATCAGATTTTGAAGACTGCTCTGGTTTATAAGAGCTTCCTCATGAAGAAGGCTTTGTAGATCTCACCATTTACAGATATGAGACAAATTTCCTTCTGAGTGTCTCATTCTGCTCTGACGTCCCTGGGAACACACATCCGAGTCAATATCTTCAATCTTTTCAAATTAAATTAGCTCCCTCTAGGGAGCCAGATAAAGGAATGCTTGAAAGCAATGGAACAATATAGATTTGTCCATTTTTGATGCTTGGGTTAAATTTTATTTTTAAAATGACTGTTCCGTATTGCCTAAACCATCTATTTTGAGAATGATTTGTCATTATTTCTAAAATCATATTTATAACTCTGCCCTAAATTGTAACTAAATTGGAAAAACGTACTTAAATTCTGCCTAAGTGATAACTTAATCCGCATTTAAAGGACTTCCTTGGATGGAGGACACTGGAAATTTAAACTTTGCAACCTGTCTTTTTACTACCCTTTTCTGTTCATCGTAGATCGGCCTAATGGCATAAACTAATAATAATATGGCAGGTATTTAAAGGCTTAAAACCACAGACCTGTGTTGGGAAACTATTCTTCTTCAAGAAAGTATATGCCACTCTGCAAGAAGCCAGATGTCCTTCCACTGGGGCACATCTGGCTGATGGCGGCTGCTCACGTCCTCTCTGACCAGGGGCTGATGGCGGCTGCTCACGTCCTCTCTGACCAGGGGCTGATGGCGGCACTGCTCACGTCCTCTCTGACCAGGGGCTGATGGCGGCTGCTCACGTCCTCTCTGACCAGGGGCTGATGGCGGCTGCTCACGTCCTCTCTGACCAGGGGCTGATGGCGGCACTGCTCACGTCCTCTCTGACCAGGGGCTGATGGCGGCACTGCTCACGTCCTCTCTGACCAGGGGCTGATGGCGGCACTGCTCACGTCCTCTCTGACCAGGGGCTGATGGCGGCTGCTCACGTCCTCTCTGGCCAGGGGCTGATGGCGGCTGCTCACATCCTCTCTGACCAGGGGCTGATGACGGCTGCTCACGTCCTCTCTGACCAGTGGCTGATGACGGCTGCTCACGTCCTCTCTGACCAGGGGCTGATGACGGCTGCTCACGTCCTCTCTGACCAGGGGCTGATGACGGCTGCTCACGTCCTCTCTGACCAGGGGCTGATGACGGCTGCTCACGTCCTCTCTGACCAGGGGCTGATGGCGGCACTGCTCACGTCCTCTCTGACCAGGGGCTGATGACGGCTGCTCACGTCCTCTCTGACCAGGGGCTGATGGCGGCACTGCTCACGTCCTCTCTGACCAGGGGCTGATGACGGCTGCTCACGTCCTCTCTGACCAGGGGCTGATGACGGCTGCTCACGTCCTCTCTGACCAGGGGCTGATGACGGCTGCTCACGTCCTCTCTGACCAGGGGCTGATGGCGGCTGCTCATGTCCTCTCTGACCAGGGGCTGATGGTGGCACTGCTCACGTCCTCTTTGACCAGGGGCTGATGGCGGTTGCTCACGTCTTCTCTGACCAGGGGCTGATGGTGGCCCTGCTCACGTCCTCTCTGACCAGTGGCTGATGGCGGTTGCTCACGTCCTCTCTGACCAGGGTGACCACATGCTCTGGCTTGCTGGCCATATCCAGTTTTTCTGTTGTTCTAATGTCGTAATAGGGCCCCATTCACTCTCAGAAGTGTCCCCTTTTGGATCACCCTACATGGTCACCCTATATCTGGTTGATGTGATATTAATAAGCATAAAGTGACCTTTGAGGAAGCAGGATCATTTATCCATTGTGGTGACTGGAGTCTTTCTGAGAAATACCGACTTTATTTTAAAAGATTTCAATACCTTCAGACACATTGAGTTTTGATGACATGAATTGTATGTATAAAGAGTGTTCAGTAAGCTCAGAGACAATAACTGAAAGCACATGAACCACAGAGCTGTGGAATCTAATATGGCAGAACCGTGTTCCATCTTCTACTCCCAGAAATCAGCAGCTCCACCTAATGGTTCTCTGGACCTGGTGAGCCCTGAAAGCCCTCCATTAGGTGAAGATGGAGCTCACAGCTCCTGGCCTCAGGCTGTGCCTTTCCTTATCTCTGTTGCTTTCCAGATGATGCCAGCAGTCCCTCCCTGGTTAGCCTGGCACTTTCTGCCATGTACTTATGTCATGCCTGCAGCCAGCCACTGCTGCCCGGAATCTTCAGTGGCGCCCCTGCCTTCAGTGTCTTCTGCCCAGCTCCATCAGGGTGTCTGTTTCTAGGACTTCTGCCAGGAGATATGGCACACCTGCCATCCAGATCCGAGGTGGGTAGAGGGACAGGCAGGTGTGGGCCCTCATCTGGGGTCAGCAGGCATTCAGAGCCAGGGTCTGCAGGTGGAACTCCAACCCCACACCCATTGGCTATGTGACCTCAGACAGGCTTCATAACCTCACTGTGCCTCAGTTTCCTCAGCTGTCAAATACCTAATAGTTGCTACTCCCAGGGTGTCACAAGGATTAGAGGCATCACCCCCATGCCTGAGCTCAGTGTATAGGAGGTGTCACCCCCCTGCCTGCCTCAAAGCCTGCCTGACTAACTCCTGATGCCCTACGGGAGGTGCTCTCTGTTGTTCAGACAAAGATGTTTCGGTTCAGAGAGACAGACTTGCTGGGCTCAGGGCACCCCTAATGACCTCACTAAGGGTGGCCTAGAACCCCAAGTATGGAGAGGTGTCCTGGTGCCGGGAGGAGAGAGGTCCCAAGAGCCTCCAGCCTGGGTGTCTGTCTTTCTTCTCTGGAGGTGTCCTCACCCATGGCAACACTCCT